TATGTATTTTTTTTTGTTTATCTGAATATAAACAACAGAAATACCACGTATCGACTTAACAAAACTCGTGCTAAGTCTCAAAATTGGCGATGGTATTATAAAGATTTACTTGGAAATTCTATACAAACAGACAGATTATCTTATTTCGTTATAGTTTTTCCAACTCGTAACATACTTTACAGTGTATCATATTATGTAAAGGATGTACTGTACATTACCCATTAAATAAACTGTAAATCTCTTGTAATGTGTAAAAATTGTCGTGACAGATTGTAGCAGAAAGTTAAACGAAAATTAATATTTACATCCCACGACGAGACTAAAAATTTCAAACCACTTAATGTCCAAGAACAAATCTTAATTACAAGAGACAGAAATTTTCATTTCCTTAGCGCTTTTCTCGATTATTTCTTATAATCATTCATAAGCTTATTTATATTATAATAAGTTTTAACGTTAAATTAACGTCTAAGAAAAATTTTATAAAGAAAAAATAATAATAATAATAAATAAAGATTAATTATTTGTAGTGAAATTTAATTTTTATAAATTTTTTTAAAATTTGTAAATTGACTTCTCAACTTTTACGTTATAGAAAATTAAAAATTATATTTATGTACAGGCATTATTTTAATTTAAAATAAAGCCACGTTTAGCTATTAAATACAAAACGTTGTTATTAAAAGTTAATCTATTCACGTTTACTTTATTTACATTTAATTTTCTACTTTCTATTTTTTTAATATTGCTAATTTCAATAATGGGATAAAATTTCTATTTATATAAAGAAATGTGCAGTAAAATGTATTTTTAGATAAATAAATGTACATTTCATATAAAAAATAATAATTACAATAATTAAAATATTTTAAAATAAATTCATGTACAACAATTAAAATGAAATAAATAAATAAATAATAGAATTTATAAACATTTCACACTTATAAAGTTGAATTAAAGTTTATTTTACTTATTTTCCTTATAAAATTAATTAAATTATACTAAAACATTTTGTAGTAGAACGTTTTATTGTAAAATTTTATTGTTAAATTGACATTTAAAAAAATATTATTACTTATATAAAATTATTATTATTATTACCATTATTATTAAAAATGGATTCTTTCATATTTTAATTATTTATATTTAATTTTTAAAAATTTTACTCGTATTTTATTTTAAAAATATTTCATTTTCTTAATTTTATTAATTTCAACAATAAAACAAAATCTATTTTTAGAAATAATTTGTACATTTCAATTTAAAAATAAAATTTATAATAATTAAAACTTTAAAAATACATTCACTTACAACAATTAAAATGTAAATAAATAAATAAATGAAAAGAAACATTTATGAAGAATCTTTTCACTTTAGATTAGCTTTGAAGAAAAATTTAACTTGTTCATATTTTTAAAATTAAATTAAATTAAATTTTATTTTTCTTAATACAGTAATTGAAATTTATTTTATAAGTTGTTAGAATTACAATGAATTTTTTCGTATTGAACTATTCTCTTTTCTACGTATTTTAATCGGATCGATGAAGCTTAAATTATTCATTTGATGGTGATTAATTATTTGAACTATGTTAATTATAAAAGTGCTATTAATATCAATGAAGAAGTAAAGAGGACACGCCTAATTTTACAATTTAGATAGAAAATGCTATTTTTCTTCTCCTTCTTTTGTATTTCTTTAATAAGATTACTTCTTTTACTCTTTAATTAGGTTATTAATATTGCAATTTTTCCCCCCTTCTTAAAATTTAAAAGTGAAAAGTTTGTTATAAATAATTAATTATCTAATCGAAATTTTAGTTAAAAATTCTTCTCTTCTTTTGTATTTTTACAAAATGAGCTTCTTTGACATTATTTTTTCCCCTTCCTTTTAAATTACTATAAATAAAATTTACTTTGCAAATTAGGTAAGACATAAAATGAAACAAAGTAAAGTAAAATTTCATTCATCACTTTAATTGTTTAGAATATTTTCTAGTAAAATTGAATTTTATAAATTGGTTTTCTTCTTCTTCATCTTATAAATTGCCGAATTCATAAAATTACAAATTATATTTATAAACTTAGTTAATTTAATTCAGAATGTAGTGAAATTATTATAATTATTTTAATTTACTTTTAGTTTATTTAATTTTAATAAACTAAGTTTTAATTTAGAATATAGTTAAATTATTATAATTATTAATTAGTAAACAATTAATTATCCTATTATTATTAAAAATTAATATTTTCATTTCTTTATCACTTTTAATTTAATTTTTTTTTTTTTTAATTTTATTAAGTTTTGTATTTATAAAAATGGAAATTAAATCTATTTTTAGAAAGAAATGTAGTACAACAAATTGTATTTAAAAAAATGGATATTTCAAGTTAAAAATAAAATTAAAATTGAAATTAATATTAAAAAAAATTAAATAAATTTGAAAACTTTTTTTAACACAAAAGAATTATTTCTATGTTGAAAAAATTAATTTATTACTTGTTTTTGTAATTGGTTTTTAAAAAGTTATTTAAAAAGAACAAATTTCAGAAAAACTATAAACAAAATAACGATAAAAAGTTTTGGTATTAAAAATAAAGTAATTAAAATGTTTGTAATGCCGGGCTGCAATTTTAATTTAAAATATATACTTTTCACCTCAAATTAGTAGTGGCTTGCCCCTGTACATCATACCTTTCCTTTAACAACAAAGTCGTGCTGGTCATCTACGTAACTCTGTTCGAGGGAAAAATTTTGAATTGGATTCATGTGACCTCTGGTAAAGACAAGAAGTTTGTATATATAGTCGACCCCCCTATAACACTGTTGATTATTCTGTTTTATATGAGTTCCATGTTGTACGAGTCACTTAGATTTTACAAATACGTGTGCCGGGCTGTAAACGACTCACGTATTAATATTTGTAAAATCTAAATGACTCGTACAACATGGAATTCATATAAAACGGAATAATCAACAGTGTTATAGGGGGTCGACTGTAGTTAATCGGGATTTCTGCCCTAAAGCTTTATATATCTGGTCTGGACTTCATCTATTTAACACCGTTCTCAAGATTAAAGAACGACAGACAGACAAACAGAGAATTTATAGGTGTACAATTTTTTTTCAAATTGCAACCCAAAAACTCAAAAATTTCAATATANAGAAATCAGAGGAAGTACATAAATATTAACAGTGAATGAACATAAATATACATATGTCATTAATGTGTGTGTGTGTGTGTGTGAATATTCAATTCAATTCAATTTATTAAGCGTATAAGGCCTGTTACAAGGGTGGTATTTGTTAATACAACATATTAGTCCAGAATGATTCGTTTAGATACCTTTGAACAAAACTATTAAATACTCATTATATATCTTAAAGTTTTAACTTTGTTTTTTATAACATATATTTACAATACAACAAACATCTTTCGCGAACAAACCTTTAAGAATATTATTGTTTCACTAACTCTAATACTTTGCACTAATTAGTTTATATCTAACTGGTTCACACTTTCGTTAACATAAGATATTAATCACAATTTATTTTAAAANAAGAACAATTATATTCACAATTAATTATATTGTGGCAGAAAAACAGTCCTATAGTAAATCTAGAATTAATTCTAAAAAAATTACAAAAAGATAAATGAATTATTTCAAAACTGAAATAATTTTTACGAAAAATACCGAATAAAAACAATAAATTTTATGTCAGAAATTTTAGGATCATAATTTTATAGTCTACATGTAAGAGGATAAAAAATCGAAAGTATACGTTACATTTGCAGACTATTTAAATTATACAAAATTTTATAATTGCGTAACTGTATTATGACAGATATTGTTGACATCGTATAAGATTTCACACGATAACATTTAATAAATAAATGAAATAAAGATATAACAATTGATTTTTACTTACAAAATAAAACAGATTTTAACTTCATTCGAATCGAAAAATTGTGCAAAGTTTACATTATCAAATATGTAAAAATATAATTAAATTATATGATAAAAATTTACTGTTTAAATTACACATCAAAATGATCTACTTCTTCGTATCATATCTGCAGCCTTTTCAGCTATCATAATGGTAGGTGCATTGAGATTTCCTGAGACGATATTTGGCATTATAGAAGCATCGACTACTCGTAGACCAGAAACACCTTTTACTCTGAAAAATTTAAATCAATATAAATCGATTAATACGTGAATATTTTATTCATTAAAGTTTTAAACAATATTTTAAAACAATGTACAGTCAAAATTTACTATAGTTTCATCCTCATAGTTTCAATGAATGAAGTAGAGAAACTCCATTATCTTTGAATTACTAAATATAGTTTTACGTTACAAGCTATTTTGCTATGACTAAATCACGTGATTTTCAAACTTGATTCAAATTTGTATTGACCTAATTTTTGTATAGAGGATACAACATTTCCTTTGATCTTGAAAATTTAACTTTTTCCTATTAGAGAAAAATGAAACACAATTTGAAATAATCCACAAAATTTATTCTAAAAACATTTAATTTAAATACTCAAACCTTTCTAGGTTTGAGTATTTAAATTTAAATTTAAGAAAATTTAAATTTAAATTTTAAGAAAAGAAATTAAGGAATTAAACAAAAGAAAATTTCATCTCCCAAATTTATATATTCTCCCTTCTAATCTACTGTGTAATGAATCCAAATTAAAAGGCATTTGCCATCTGGTGTAATGAAAAAATTGTCAATAAAAATCGCTGAATATTATGTGACTGAAATGCTACATATGACATTTTGCTAAGGTCAAGTCGATTCCAACATGCAGTCGTTTGCAGAGCAAACGACTGCATGTTGGAATCAGGTCTTATACGGTAACGTATCCAGATCAGAGTTTTTCATGCACTTTTCATAAAACAACATCGAGCTTTGAAACTACTGACAGTGTTAAAAAACAGAGATTTGATAGGCATCAAACAACTAATGGTGATACAGTTATTAATGTTGCTTCTGTGATACTAGAACCATACAATTCAAGTGAAATTCCATTAGATCTAAACATAGTCACGAATTTGTTCTTAGATGCTTACACAAGCACAAGTTCATCTATCCTATAACCACTGCCATCAAACGTTGAAACAAAATGATTTTTGAGCAAAAATTGTCACAATTAGTATTTAAGTTTGATAGAATACAATCTGCAGTTCAGCACCAAGATCATACGGAGTAATGAATGTCAATCCACCAAAGACAGAATCGTAAACAAACCTACAGTACAGTACATTATTGGGTTGACGAAAATGCCAAAAATGCTTCTTACCACTATGAATGGAAAACCAACGTCTGGTATGGTATTTTTGATGGAAATCTCACGGAAACTATATTTGATTGAAATACTTCAAAGGCCATTTCAAGAATTTCTATTGTGCGATTATAAAATGGTATGGTCACAACAAAATGGAACACTATCACGTTATTATGTTTCAGCTTGCCAATACTCAGAAATACAGTATATGTAAATCAGTGGGGTGGAAGAGGACGGCCATTCGTCATCCCACTCATTTAATTTGACACATCCAGGTCTATTTATTTTTTCAAGTTTTATTTCTAAAAATAATCAATTTATTCTACTGAAACAACAAAACTGAGAAATCCAAAGAATGATAATGAGGAAGAGCTTGTACTGCTATTACAAGAGAGACTTTATTTCGTGTTCATGCGTGATTAGAACATGACTCTACTACACTGCAGACGGCTATTAATTTGATATCTTTTATAATGTTTCTTATGAGTTGTAACCTTCAAAATAAATGACGATAAAACGTTTTGAAATAAAGTAAATTTGATTTAAAAATAATGAAATCATTTAACCTAATAAACTGTAGAAAAGAAAATCGAACATCGTTCAAGTTCACTATTCAGAATTGGAGAGGAAAGTTTTGTATTTTTCGGTTTAAATTTGAGTTTCAAGTATTCACATTAGATGTTTTAGACTAATTAAAAGGTAGGCTACAACTTTATGATTGGATTTTCTTTTCAATTAGCTCTAATAGAAAAATAGTTAAATTTTAAATGACCTTAAAATGTTCTTGACGATCAGTGAAAATATAAATATCATACATAAGCAGATTAATCACACATATTTTCATATTCAAAAATGTTATCCCTTCATTTATTTCAAATTTGGAAATATGTCCCAATTTTTGTTCAACCGTGTATAATTTTTATTGTTTAAAGTACTTCAGTTTAGTACCAAATTTAGTTTTAAATTTTAAAGATGAAAAAGTGGTAGCACTAAATCGTAGATATTTTGTTAAAGTGAAGGAATTTCTTGCAATTTTAAACTTCTATTTGTTTTTCTAAAATTAAAAGTCAAATAGGATTGAGATCAATCTGTATCAATGGCCATTATGTTTATCTAAATAAGAATCTTAAACCTTAAGATAATTCTAAAGAGTAGGCTAAATATGAAGCATTTTATGTTCAAAAATAAAGATTATCTGTTATAAATCAATATAATTTCAAAATTTATTTAATGCTTTAATTAAAATAAAACTTAATATCGGTTTTATTCTATCAAACTTATTGCATAGGCTCTTAAATTTTAAATTATTTACATTTTAATTTATAGAATTAATTGAAATAACTGAATAAAACTTTCGTGATATATAGATTATATTTTTATAGCTTATTAGTGATTAATTTAAAGTAAAATAAATATATACGTTATTAAAAATAACAAAATTGATACCTTAATTCGGGGTCAACCACAGTTGTTGGATCTTCAATAGCACCCATTTTGCATGTTCCAACAGGCTGATATAATGTGAGCGTTAGTGTTCGTGCCACACATTCAAGATATCTATTGCTTAATTTTGGAAAATTTTCACATCCAGGAACCACAGTGGGTAAAAGTCGTGAACCCAACTTTTTAAAAGGTAAGGATTCTCCTAAAATAATTGCCTTTCTCATGGCTGGAATCAAAATTGAATTAATAACTTACTACAAAGTACTGTACAATTAATATTTTGTTATTATTATAAAAGTGTACATTTTTCTTAAATAAATTAACTCGCATATTAATTTAAGTTAAATTAATTAAACTCAAATAGTTTACATATTATTATTATTATTATTATTACTATTATCATTAAATGCAGAAAGTAACAACTGAAAAAAAGAAAACGTAAAGTCCTCGTGAAGAATATTAAAGTAATCAATAAAAGGAAGCATTTACAGATTACTTTTTTATTCGCTACAACTCTTTTTACCATTAAAATTTTCCTATCGAGAGGGAAAGGGAAAATTGACCCTGAGAAAGCCGCACATTAAAATATAAGTTTATATTTTTCATTATTTAACCGAGTAAAGAGCGGTTGAAAGTTTGAAAATTATATAAAGAATTACGGAAATTTCAAAGTAATGATTAAATTAATAGCTTATCATATCAATATTTGTTACAGCAACAAATTGATTGAAGAAGAATTAACATTGTTAATTGAAGATTCCTGAAGAACAGTTATCGGAAAATCTTTAATAAGAAAGAATAGAATACAAATTAAAAAATGAATTCACATTGTATATCGTTCAAAATCGAAATTTTCATGAATTTAAATTTTGAAAATAAATGACGATACCATTTTTTTAATTTTAAAAATTCTGATTTTCCTAAATCATTGAAATAAGACATATATAGTGACCGTAATGAAGTTAATGTTTGAAATCTTATTTTCTATCTGCTAGTGATGTAAATATTAAATTTTAAATGTAAATTATTTGGTCCATAAAAATATATAATCGATGTATACGAATATTTATACAAGATTATCCGTATTAATCGCTGTAATTTTTATTAAATTTGTGTTTCACTGAAAATACATATAAAAAACAGCATACTTGACGTAATGTAATTATGCAAAATTAACATATGATATTGTTAGGACAATATTTTCCAATGTTATGGTAAATAACGACAACTACATTTCCTTCACGACGATTTCTACTTTTTCTTCCATTAATGCGTATCAATGTCGGAGGGACATTTTATCAATAAAAGAAACGTGACTCATACTGAAAATGCAGTTTTAAATCTTCTTAATGGGCATTTTGAGAGAAGTGTGCGATATTACTTAATGATTTCAAGAACGATTCATTCTGGATATAGCTGGATATGCTAGCCAGACCATACAAAACCTGTATTTCAATCTGTGTAATTACTTCTTATTGGATTTCCTGAAGGATATTGTGTACAGGATACTTTATACAGTATTGGAACATTAAAATTTACAATTTTAACAGCAATTAAAACTGATGTAAAATATGTTAGTACTATTCGATTTCTATGATACACTTAACGATTTTCAATGATTTTAATGTGTGATTAAATTTTCAACATAACTTACCATCAACAATTTTTAAAATATCCTCGGGATGAGAAAGGTAATTAGGTTGAATAATCGGATGTTCGTAAGGATTGGCACTTCTTAATTTAACGTATCCACGACTTTTAGGACGAAGCAAAATAGGTAATATAGAAAATGCATCGTCATATTCGAATGGACTATAATATAAATCATATATCTGAAAAACAAATTTATATATTAATTAACGTTTTATAAAGCTTGTTATTTATTATACAATTCATTCATTGACCTCTCTTTTTAATCCTGTTACAGGAAACAATATTTTTCCTCCATCAGAAGCCATTCCTCCAGATAAAAAATAATATTGGATATCAGGATAATCATCTAATGGTGTAGCGTACTTAGTATTTATAAATCCAATGCCTTCTATTCCATTTGCACGAGTCCACATTCCTTTCGAAAAAGAAATTTTTCTCTTTCAAAATTCTTGTTTTAAAATAATTGATTGGTTAATTAACGTGTGGCACCAGCAAATATGTATACTACATGGCTGACCACAATTACACTCGTCATCTCAGTGGAGTCGACGAGCATGAGTGAAAAATGAGAAACGATGCTTCGGCTGGTACTACCCAAGATAAGGTATTTGGCATAAATCGGCTCTAGTGTAAAAATAATAATTTAAAATAAGAATTACTCGAACCTTTGCCTGCAAACCAATATTGTAAAATCGTCTTCGGATTGTAAAATCGTAGAAGAACAGCTGAAATCGGTTCGTCAATTAAAAAGTTTAATCCTAATGGGAAGATATGATCTTGTAGATTTAAACCCACTGGAAGATTTGAAATAACTGGAATCTATCAAAATAATATAATTTTCATCATTCCATTTGAAAGGTTAATTAATTTAAAGTACTGTAATTACCCGAAAACGTTGTAAATCTTCTTTAGGTCCGATACCCGAAAGCATTAGCAACTGAGGTGAATTTATAGTACCTGCTGATATTATTATCTCTTTCCTGGCTTTGACGAAATATATTTGACCGAAACGATCGAATGTAACTCCTATGGCTCTCTTAAATTCGTTGAAAATAATCTAAATAAATTATAAATAACTGTAACATTTTATATTGCATCTATAATAGAATTCATTCAGAAAGAATATAAGTAATCTATATAATATCTGCTTTATTATACATAAACTGTAAAAGTAAATGTTAAAGATCATAGCTCGCAGAAAAGAGAACGAAATAGACATTTATATATGAATGGTTAAGCCGCTATTTTGCATTAAATTTAATAATTAGAAATAAATAAATTAATCTGGAATATTCTGGAACGAAAGATTGATCCTGAACAGGACTAGAACCTATGACTTCTGCTTACCATCTGCATTTGCACGATAAAAACGATTTTTTTTAATCTTGTTAAAAGAAATAAATAAATTGAACATAAAAGTATCTGAAAATATCAAACATAACCACTTGTTAGCGCTTTACAGCTCATGCTGTCAGTGCTTAAGTCCTATTTTAGTTAAAGCAAGTATAGAGCAAGGCACCCTAGTGTGTGACAGTTGAGCTTTACAATAACTTTTGTTAAAAGATCCAATAGAACATAAATGTTGGTTAAAGTCAACAACGGCCGAAGAACTTCGTCCATTAAAAATGGCTAACTTCGAAGATTGCTTCGTGTCTCTCTTCTCCCTTTTTTCATTAAGTTTCAAAGTGAAATACCTGAAATTTTATTCTTCTGTTTTATTATCCCAGGGTAACAATAATTTTTAGCAAGTGTTTGCTCAATATATTTTCGTAAAATTATTTAAATAAACTGAAATTATTTTAAAATTTTATTTAAAAAATGTGCTCTTATTCTTTGGCATTTTACATCTTATTGATCTTGAAGTGGTAGTTAAAAATTCATTTTGAGTAGTTAAAGTGTAATGTAATCTTTGATCGATCATTCGTCTCTTATGAATGATTACACGAATCATTTTTGACAGCTAAAGTTATAATTCAATGCATTTACTTGCTTTACGTGTAATTATGTAACTAATACATTTTTAGCCATTTCAAATTTATACTTAACATCTATTGCTTTTCACATTTTTAATTATATATTAGCGATGATAGATCCGTAGTTGTTAAATTTACCCATTGATTGAACATTAAGATGAAGACGTAAGAGATTTTGAAAGCGAATTTAATTCAATTTAAACTTTGTAGGATCGAGAAGAATATGTTTTACTCGTGAATTTTATGGTAAATATTCATTCAACTACAAGGGGAATTTGCATAAAAATCGAGCTTAAACATTAGAGAAAATAAGGCATCTTCAGGAAGATTAGAAATAAAGGAATAATCTTGAAAATATGTAAGAATATTCACCGAATATCATGCTAGAATACGTGCTAGAGTACGAATTCTAGAGTAATGATGCCACTTGAAATGGTTCATTCTTAGAAGCCATCTGATATCGTAGATTAAGAAGGAATCTTTTCACGTTGTTTAGAATTATATTGAATTTTCGTAAGTCTTCTGTAATAAATTCTTTAATAAATAATTTAAATATGTAAGAATCAATCAGTTTGAGTTGTTTCTCATCAGAGAAAACTGATTTCTCCTCAAGCTTTGAGAAAATTATTCGAAATTTTTCTGGAGATCGTAGCAGCAATTGGCTCATTTAACAATAATAAAAATATATATTTGATTAATTTGTGCATGTATAGAAGCTTGAAGATAATAAATATTCCTTTTTATATTCGAAAACAGAAATACTTATTTTACGAATTCGTTAAATTGAAATGTATCTCATTGTTATTCGTATCATCTGGTCTTTCCAATAATGCCATTTTGGAAACATTTCGTTATTAGAAACTGCTAGAAAACATGATACTGTTTAACCGTGAATGTTTATTATTTACTGTATATATATATATACAATATCGTGCATTCAACAGAAGGGCAAAAAATTTTTTTAAACATTTAAAATTGCGTTAGAAAGAAGAAAACGAGTAATTAATTGTAAAACTGAGGTGTTGGTTTCGTTATTTCAAATAACTAGTTTTCACTTTATATATAATGTACGAACATAGATGAAGAATTGCATACTCTGCCATGAAGACCGTGCTGCAAATCTTTGAAAATCCTTTCAAGTTATCATAACAATATAGAATTAAGCACAATTTCTGCAACATTTAATATCTTAGCTATCTTTATAGATATGTAGTTTTACGTTACGGGTGTTACATCTTCCGAAATTTCGGGCATACGTGCCATTTAGACAGATTAACAATCGAAGATGGCAATATGTTACGGCAAATTTAGAAGAGATACTTCTAACGTTACCAGAATTGAAATTTCTGAGTTCATACAATGAAGTAATTACAGATAAAGAAACGATTATCGTGTCAACCTTTGGAGAATTTACAGAAGTCGCAATCAAATGGCAAGCAAAGGGGATGCAGATCTTTGGCTATCGATGGAGCAGTCTCCATTGTTTAATAACATCGGGTCGCAAGTTGTTGCACTTGACATTAATCAACTTCTCTTATGTTAACCTTCACCTAATCGGTCGATATTGTAGAAACCTACACGAACTCCACCTGTTTAACATTCGACACTTACAGTTCAAAGCTGAGGATGAGTATTGTCCTCGAATGTTCAAGCATCTGAAGAAGATAATAATAAAGTGACCTAGAGGAGATATTTGGGAAAATAACTTAAAGTGTTTGTGCATGAATGCCCCCAATCTAGAATATGTGCGTATGGATAATGTATCCTGTCTCACTGATGAGATCATTTCAGAGATCATTCCCTATCTCAATACTCTGGAATGCTTGGAATTGCATAATTGCAAGATTGAGAGCGTGTTCTCTTTATATCCGATTATTGATAGCGTACATACTTTAAAATTTTTTCCCTTTCTTTCAACGAAGAAGAAAGAGAATTTGTAAATTACATTCTCAAAAGTGAAAAATTATTTCGTTTCAATTTAATTCCGTGCCAATGAAAAGATTAGAGTGAATTTTAGTACATTAAGAATTATTTTACTTAAATAAATTATAATAAACTTTGTTTCTATAATTTTAGCTACTTTTATGGAATTTCTTTCAGAATAATTTTATCATATTTATACTTAAAATTCACTAAAATGTTTACTTTACAATAGAAAGTTGTATACGAAATGTGTCCATACTTAAAGATAATAAGCTCTACCTGAATAAATTAACAGAATAAAACAACGTGGCTTATTCTACGTGCCTTAACACATGTGGACCCTGGCAAACGTGTAGCATACTTGCATTGCCTTATTGTAGGTACAGTACCTCTCGTGGAGACTTTCTATCTTTGGAAAACTGACCCCTATTTAGGTTTTAGGCACGCAAAGAAAACTCGGAAAATTCCACATGGCAAAATAAGTTTTTTGGTATACATTTTAATATTAATTATTAATATAAAAAACAGTTTGTATTAAAAATACTTCAACTTAAAATTCTAGTAAATTGAGTTTTAAATTAAATATGTTTCATTTGCTTAAAAGTGATAAAATATACAAAACAGATTAGTCAGTCAATCAATTATTATCACTCATATTGGAAGATAATTGTGAAACAGTAGAGGATCGCAGCCTACCAATTGAGAAATTCTAGTGAAAAATTGTTTTATATACTGGACTTTTGATATAGTGACCATCCGATATAGTGAATGATTTAGTCCATTCTTTGAGAGTTCACTGTATCGAATGTCTACTGTATACACTTTGATAACTGTATGGTAACGTAAGTTTATTAAATTATAATAACTTCACGAAAAAAAATAATAAATTTAATGAAATGAAATTAATTAATTTCAATAATTCTAACGCAATTTTCTAAAAATATAAATAAATTAGCGTACTCCTATATTGTAAGGATTCTAGATTCGAAAACATTGCGTAACATTCATGTTTATTACTTGTCTCTAGACCTTATCTAGAACGTTCTGACAGGACCTAAGGGAATAATTAGCAGAAATACAAACGTTGAATGTATCTCGACAGAAGATTCGGGAATAGCAACTTAATTATTTAAGTTTATACCTCGCATGAGAACTCTATCAACAAATAGTACGTCATTAATAGATCCAATGGGAGATATTTAAAATAGTCAACTCAGAGAAGAAAAGAAGCTAATTGAAGAAATATTAAAGAATCTGTGAGGTAACATTGTACTCATGATACATTTTATTCAATTAGAAAACTTTTCTTCTATTGTTTATTCCCCATTCCAACGGCGCATCGATAATGCAATTTTAATAAATATTATCCAAATGCGCAAATTATATCGCTAAATAAAACTAAGAACAGAAATAACGGCATTTTAAATATTTAAAATAATCATTACACACGTTAGAATAAAAATGTAAACTTTTTAATTTCAATTTCAACAATACAGCACATAATTTAATCTCATTGGTAAATTCAAATTCAAATTCACCAATAGATGGTGGTACAAAACTCGTTACAAAACATTCTTGTCGTAATTGGCTAACTTAAATTCGAACAAACAAATCAGACGAAAAAGACAAGATTCATTACCTCCTATAGGACGATTTAAATTTGAATTAACCAATAAACTTGTTCAAATTTTGAAATTAACGATTTTATTCGTTAATTTGAATTTAAATAAACAAATTAGGAATTAAATGACAATACCGATCAAATGCCGCTTAAATTTTCCAATTCGTCTTATTTTTAAATCTTAAAAAAAACGATTTACGATTTAAAATTACCTTTAATATTGCATGAGAAAATTTATCGAATTTATATATATAAATCTTACATTACAACGTAAACTGGTTTATGTTATTTAAAATGGTTTACGGTTTGATATTCCTTA